TGTCATCAAACGCACCACAAAACATGTGTTTTAATCCCAGTAACCACTGTGAGCCTCGTGGTAATAATTCTGACACATTTTAGGGTTTCTGCATCAGACAGCACACCCCTTTATAGATGGATTTAAAGTCACAGACCCACTCAGGTCATCTTTGCTGGATTTTTCCCACTATCTGTCTGCTGGAGAGAGTTTTTAGGCCCAACTCTTCTTCCTTTGTCCTCCACTGGTCCAGTTTCCTCAGATGTTTTATGGACTGGTTGCTCACCAGACTGAGATCTGCCCAGTTTTCAGCCAGCAGCTCTTTGGGAGTCCTCAGAAATCCTGTTTCCTGGCTTTCAGACTGTGTTTTCTTTGGCGTTTTTCCTCCATCAGCTACAGAAACGGAACAAATTATGTGTCTGTGTGACAGGCTGCGGCTAACAAAGAGCCTAAAGATCCACTCTAAACTGCTGCTCTGTTAATTGGACACAACACTGGCTCACCCTTGAGTTAGGGGCCTGAATGATTAATAGTTAAGAAATTAAACCAAATACATTTTTTTCCACCTACAAGGTAAATGCTTATGAGGAAAACAAAACATTGCAGAAACCCAGATGAACCCTGAAATTACTGGATATTTTTAAGAGTTTACTTACATCTACTTCCTCTGGTCATTTAAATATTCTTTTCTGGGTCACAGAGCAAAAGAAAGGCCACAGACACAGAAGAAGAAGACGAACAGTCGGAGAAGAAGTACAGAAAATGTGAGAAGGCAGGCTGCTCCGCCGTGTACCCCGTCTGCTTTGCAAGTGCATCAGAAAGGTATTCTGGGAGGAATGGGCCTGGTCTGCCGCCCGCCGCGATGGCCATTAACGCCGGCGCCTCTTGTCTCCCCAGATGTGCGAAAAACGGTTACACGTCTCGCTGGTATCACCTGTCATGCGGCGAGCACTTTTGCAACGAGTGCTTCGACCACTACTACAGAAGGTAGAGGGAAAGCGGCGCGGCTAATGTTTGGGGTGTCAGGATTGAGACAGTAACGCTGCCCATTTCTGCCCCCCCCCCCCGACAGTCACAAAGACGGCTATGAGACCTTTGCCTCCTGGAAGAAGGTGTGGACCAGCAATGGAAAGAGCGAGCCCAGCCTTAAGGCCTTCATGGCAGACCAGCTGCTGCCCTTCTGGGTGCGTGCCGGAGGTTTCCCTCACAAAGCCGAGTTGCATCACCTCAAAGTTCAGTTCAGGCAGCTGGACGGGAAGTTTTCTAGAAGACGTTTGGCCTCTTATCCAAGAAGCTTCCTCAGTTTTGATAGATGGTGGAGCTCTAAGGTTAATATACTGAAGAATTAGGGGAAAACCGAAGGTGACAGGACTCAGCTGCTCACCTGAAGGCTGAAGGACACTCGTTTAAGGAGGACTACATCCATATTCTAGCCCAGGAAGACAGCTGGTTTGAAAGAGGGGTCCAGGAAACCATCTTTGTTAACCTGGAGAAACCATGACTCACCAGAGTAGCTGGTCTCAGACAGAAGCTGTCATCTCCTTCCAAAACACTTTCAGGAACAACAACCAGCAGATTCAGCTGTCAGCTGACTCACTCCTCAAATATGTGACCCGAGCCACTCTGACAAGGACTTACCGACCCATCAGAGCCCCCTAACCACCGTGAACCACCCAGGTGACCTCCATGGCCCCCCAGCAGGAGGGACCAGAGCCGCCTTTGGTTTTTCCCCTAATTCTTTAGTTCCACCTACAGTATATTGACCTCAGCGCTCCACCATCAGTTAGAGCTGAAGAAGCTTTTGGATCAGAGGAAAAACTTGACCTCCAGCTGCCTGAATGTGACTTTTCAAGCTTGACCTGCAGGACTGAGGATCTTCAGATATGTTATCCCTGCTGACTTGCTCCCTTCAGGTTCAGTGCACCAAGCCGGACTGCAGGAAGTGGCGTCAGCTGACCAAGGACATCCAGCTCACCGCCTCACTGGCAGCAACGTATCGCTGCGGGATGAAGCTCGGCAACGTCAAGGTGAGCAGGAAGAAAACCCCTAAAAAGCGTCCGCTTTCTGCTTGCTTCTGAGCATTCCTGTTAAAACCCTGTCTGTCTGTTTGTCTGCCTGCAGAGCGAGGGACCCGACCACTGCTCCCAGCCAGAGGACTCGGTGAGCTTTCCTGTCATTGCTGAGCTTAATTGGCAATACAGTAGAACCTTTACATACAAATTTAACTCTTTCCAGAACCTACTTTGTATGTTAAAATATTTGTATGTTGGTTCAAATATTCCCATCAGAAAACACTGTAATTCCTATAATTCGTTCCACAGAGGCTAAAGAACGGAAGTAGAGGTGGAGACTGAGATACAGGACGTACCCTAACTTAAGTAGAGGTTCTGCGTTATACAGCCAGCAGAGTTAATTTTATTCTCTAATTTCCTTTGTCACTACCTGGTTGAGGTAGTTTGGGTTGAGCAGCCAGCTGGACCTCTTCTTCTTCTTGGATCCTAAAGGCGTTTCTCCTCTCATCCTGAAGGCTTCTTAAAGGGGGAGTCGGCTTAAAGCAGCTAAATGAAACTAATGTACTGAGCAGTTGTTTAAAGTGATAAATTATAGCAGCAGAAATGGAAAAACACAACAAATAAGTAATACAATGAATAAGTGATAAGTGTTTTTTCTCGTTCAAACGTCCGGCTGGGACAGCTGGTGGGAGTCTCTGGGTGTAGACGCACCCCCAGCCTGGAGGTGGAGGGTTGTGATGAGCCGTATGTGTTTGAATGGCCGATGTGAGCCGAAAGGTTCCTGTAAACATGTTGAGGCTCCCATCCCTCAGGTTCAGGCTTAATCATTCCCTGTTATCCACAGAGCTGATGCGTCTTCACCCAGGCATGGTCCGCAGCCAGTTTCTCTATAGAAACCATCTTTCTGGATGAGGGATGAGCTGTATTCAGGTTCCCAGAAGCAGTCCAGCTGCCTTGGCTCCGGCTCTGCTCGCCTGCATGGCGAGCAGAGCCTCCCCTGATCTGCTTCCTGTGTCGTCCCCGCAGAGAGTGTCCGAGGTGACGGACAGCTGGTGGCATTCGATGCTGATTCTGCCACCGCTGCTGAAGGAGAGCCCGGCCAGCCCCTTCCTGGCCGCCTACTACCCGGACTGCGTGGGGATGAGTCCATCTGGCTCGCCCGGCAGCGTGTCGCTGGCTGAGCTGAGGGCGGATCCCTGCAGAGCCGTGCAGCCGCAGAGTAAGAGCACATAGCCGGTGGGAGCAGGACCCTTAGGCTGACTGAGGCTAACTGTGGCTGACTGGCTAACTGTGGCTAAACAGCTTACTGTGACCAACTGTGGCTAAATGGCTAACTGTAGCTAACCAGCTGACTGTGACTAACTGTGGCTAACAGTGGCTATGCCCTCAGTTCCAGGCCTGTGCCCATACTTCCAGCCCTTCTACCAGCCCAACGAGTGCGGCAAGGCCCTGTGCGTGCGGCCGGACATGATGGAGCTGGACGAGCTTTACGAGTTCCCAGAGTTTTCCCGCGACCCCACCATGTACCTGGCCCTGCGTAACCTGATCCTGGCATCCTGGCACAGGAAGTGCACGGTAAGCCTGCAGCAGCCTGTGGGCAAAGTCGCCTTCAGGGCCAGTCAGATTTATCTGAGTAGCAGTGCTGTACTCATGACATTTAAGAGGAAAACCTCATTAAACGTTTAAATCAGGAAATTGGGAAGAAGCTGAACAACATTAAGCAAATCAATGGAATATAAATTAAAAGTGAAGAGACTAAAGATTTCCAGCCTTCAGATCACAGATAAACAGACGTTTTAAGCCTGGATTTAAACATTCAGAGCTGAGTTCTGTCTCTCCTCTTCAGGAAGACTGATCCAGATTTTAGGGGCATAAAACTAACTAAATCTGCAGCAGGATCACAGCTGGATAAGAGCCGGATCAGAGCCCAGTGAGCAACTGTTTCAGCTGGAGTTCTTCTGGTGTTTTTCAGATGCTA